ACCCTTATCTAAAGGCATAAAAGTCCCTTTAGTTGTCACAGAACAACTAACTATCTGACTCAAAGTGAGGTGACGGAAATGAAGGACATTCCCGAACTTTAGTTTTGATGGGAACATGTGTGGAGTCTGGAAAATAGACTAATTTCTGACTTTACTGGAGAAATTCTGATTAGGCAGACCTAGGGTGAGGTTCAGGAGTCTGCATTTTTAACAAAAGATTCTGATCCCCATGTGAGTCTTATCAGGTTGTCCAAAGACCATACCTCAAGAGACACCTGATAGGCTAAATTGTAGAGGATTATGACATTTTCCTAAAGATATGTGTCATATTTAGGATCTGGAATGCACCCCAAAGTCTCATGGGTTGAAGGCATTGTCCCTTGATTATGGCATTATTGAGATAATCCCATTAATAGTGGAAACTTTAGAAGACCCAAAATGATCAAACCAAAATGACAGTGGACTGAAACCTCTGAAACCATGAGCCAAAATGCATCTTTCCTCCATTAGGTCGATTTTCTCGGGCATTTTGTCACAGCAACAGAAAGCTAACACAATATAGGGAGACCCATTTGATTCCAGGTTCAGGCTAACATGTTAGGTTGTGTCTTGAACATGTCTAATTAATTGAAGAGGCTGGTTTTTCCCTCACACGTCCACCCCCCAACTCCCAATGCCCCAGCCAAAGCCCAACAGATTGTCAGTTCAACCATGAAAATGAAGTGTGTGGAGAATTCAGGTATGAAGCCCACTCTCAGAAAAACAGTTTTGGGGAATATGCCAAGGAATCCGTAGGAACCACCCATCAGATGTTCTGCTGCTGGAAATCGATCAACTTGAGCACATTTTAATTTGCCTTCTGGTTTCACTGATTTGTATATGTTTTGATAACATAAAAACAATGCTTAATCTCCAAAGGGGAAGCACAGGGTTATGCTGAGAAAAACAATCAAACATGCTAGCAAGAATATTTAAAACTTTTGCCAGTAAAGATGAACATCCTTTCTGAATTTATTTTACTCAAAAGACTTTCTAAATTTTTGGAACAGGAAGGATACAGTTGGGTAAACTTAAGAGAAGTTGAAAGTGTTGGCATGGAATCAAGCTGGGAAAAGTGCCTGCTTGCTTTGCGGGGTGTGTGTGGCACTAGAATTGGGGTCTCAGTCTCATGATGATGACTCCATGGCCTGGAATACAGAATGGCTCAATAGGAAGCCCATGTGAGCAAGACTTTGTTTTCAAGGGGTCCTCTGGGCCTCAAACATTTGTCTTTATGCCATGTGCCAACCCCAGGAGCCACCAAGGTATATAAGTGGTTCTATACTGTTCAGAAGTTTTCCCACATGGTCTGGAACCCTTGACTCAGTAGACAGCCTTGATTTGGAGTCTGCAGACCTGTGTTTACATTCCTGCCTGACCACTTATCTGATTTTTGTTCCACTTGCAAGGTATGTTGCCTTGGGGAACCTTTGTTGCCTGTTTTATAAAACAAATGATGAATAACCTGCAGAAATCACAAGGCATGAGTACAAGCTCAAAGAAAATGTTGCAGGTACCTAAACTTTATAAATATTATATAACTTATACATGACATGATTAAATAATGGCTAATAAAGATGATAATATCATTATTAAGACACTATTGAGGGGCTGGTTGTAGCTCAAGTGGTAGAGCGCTTGCCTGGAATATGTGAGGCACTGAGTTCAATCCTTAGCACCACGTAAAAATAAAATAAAGATATTGTGTCTACCTAAAACTAAAAAAATTAAATAAATAAAATTTTAAAAAGACACTATTGAGAGAAAGTCTAAGACAGTATTAATTTGTTCTTTTCTTTTTGGTAAATCGAGACTAGAGATAAAAGGTTCTCTTTGAAGGGGCAGACCCAAAACAGGTCATTACAATCCAAAAAAAAAGGAACAACTATGAGAGGTCTGCATATACTTTTAGGGGAGGCAGAGTGGTCTGTGGTATCTGCTGGGGTGCAAGGATGTGGGTGTTCCCTATGTAGGCTGTCACTAAGAGGTGTCCCTCAGATGCCACCACTCTGTAGAGGCAGACAATGGCTTCTGCTGTTACCTCTTTGGGGAGTGTGCAGAACTGATATGTTATGGAAAACACTAATTGTAGGAAGAATCAACATCACTGGGCGGAAAATACGCCAGCACATCCATGGCTTTTGATCTCTTTAAAGAATACATGATGTCCAAAGCAACCAGGTAAAAGAGAGGTGGCATAATTTATAAAATGCAGCATATCCTAAAGTGGACCTACCATATAAGCAATTTTGATAAAAGTGAAGAATGTCACTTATGAGCAAAACTACAGAAGCAGGGTGAAATCATAGAGCTCAGTGACAACATTTCCTCCATCATTAGACAGCATATGCCTCTTGGGGTATTTGTGTTTATATATTGATATAAATAGCAGCTGCTGCAATTAGATCTGACAAAGGTGGGATGTGGTGGTGTGTGGAGGTGTTGATAGGGTGTTGCATGTGGGCCAGCCTGCACCTGTGAAGGCGGGGCCCCAGAAAGCCATAGCAACCCTGAGTTCCTTTACATTATTAGATTCAAAAGATTAAGAGTGGATATTTTTAGTTTCCTTCTTTTTAAATTTTATTTTTTTTCATAAACTAATGATGTAAAAGTAATTTAAATAGAAAAAAACCAACCCAACCCTCTCTTTTTTCCCCAATATTTATGTTAACTGTCAATACCATTGTATCACTATATCATTAATATTTAATTTAATGACCTTCACTGGTTATGAACCATCATTTAAGATGGTGATACAATATTTGAAGATCTCTGTTCTCTCTCCTAAGTTTCTTCTCACTTCTCCACAGGAAGGAGATCTGATTTGGCCACCTGGGCCAGGGGGTTTATCACTGTCCATTAAAGCTTCCCCCTGTCTTGCTCCTCCTGGTAGGTCACCAGCCACCTTGTCTCCTTTGCCACTTATGCTATACCTTTTCTTACCCTCTATGCTCTCCTATGGCCACCAGGTGCCACAGGGTCCTGAGATTCAGCCTAGCCATGGTGGTGGTGGTGGTTGTGATGGTGAGGAGAGGTGGGGCAGGGATATAATAAGGAAGTCTTTGAGGTCCCTAGGTCACAATTGGTACTCCAGGTTCACCATGGTTCCAAGAAGGAAAACGGGGCCTCAGACCCCATCTGCATTTATGTCTCTCCTTTTGTGTTTACCTGGGGAGAGCAGTGTGACTGGGGTCCATCTGAGTCAGAATCCCAATATTCTGTTCATTATATTATGATAATACCATCAAAACTGCTTTGTTTCCTAACATTAGGCCCTAAAGATAGTATTACTATTGGCTTAGGTGCCCTGATTGTTGGATGATGGTTCCTAATTCTCACCATTGTGAAGCTGCACTCTGATGGTTACCTTTTTTGCCTCACCCCTCCCCATTACACTATAGAAAGTGGAATTACTGCATTCACGAAGTTGAGCAGTTTTATATCTCTCAATGTATGGCACCAAATCACCATGCAAAATGAGAGTGCTAATATATCCCAGCATTTATAAAAAAGCTAAGTTTTACTGACCTCAACCCCACTTTGTTAAAATATGCAGGGAAAATAAAACTCAGAATTATTGGTCTCTTATTTTTAATAACTTTTATTTACTTCAATATAGGGGGAGGAATAGTTTAACTTCTTTTTTAGAAAAGCTATTCCTTCGTAATTTTTCTTTTGATTTTTTTTCTAGAGATTATTTGAATAGCCATAAAGAAAAGGAAAATCCTTATTCTTTGAGGGTGTATTGTTTCAAAATGATAAAGATATTTGGATTCACATGTGGCATATAAAATGGTGGGTTATGTTGGGTAAACAATGTTTGAAACTATAAATTAGATATTATAAAGTAATGACTCTGTATGTGTGTATGACTTAGAAACTATCTTTGAAGGCAGTTCCAAAAACATATTCAAGATATGTTTTGAGTAACTCTATTGGATATAGCTGCATTAAACTTATTCATGCATTTTTCATTTTGTACTTTCTTGTGGGGTCAGTCTCACCATTTTTCTCTAGTGGCATATATTGCCAGGGGGAATATTAGAATTATTATATCAAGGACTCAGGAAGAGAGGCACTGGCTTTTGAATTCCAAAATTGGTGATTGAAGTCCACTGTGAGACTTCATTGGGAGAGAAAAGAAATGTCTAATTTCCTGTTCCCTATATCCTTTCCTAATATATCCAGAACAATCTTGCAGGTCGGAGCATATTTTTAGCCCTGTCTCAGTTGAAAGAAGACAAAGAGAGGAAGAATAGAACAAAGCCATGTTGTGATGGTTCCATCCGCATTCCAGGGATGAGATGGGGAAGCCAGATGTAAGCACCTTAAAGACATAGATGCAGAGGGCTCAGGAACACTGTTTCCTGAAGAACTCCAGATCCAACAACAGCACTTGAACAATATGGTGACAGACACGTCTAGATAGCGGTAGGGAGATGTCCAGCACATGGACCTGTGATGGTCCTTGGTCATCTATCTTTTGTCTATGTCTTATGCTATGATGTGAAGGTGTCATGGTCTTCAGGGAACAGGTAGAGGCTTGGAGTCTGGACAAAGAGGCTTAAGAGGGGTACCTAGGATTGGAGACAAATGCAATAGACTTTGGAATAGAGTAACATCCAAGTATTCCCAGGAGATGACGATGGTACACTTTGGGCACAAACACAAAGCTCAAACTAGAGTAGCTGCTCACATGTGTAAGACTGGTCCCAGGGAAAAGTGCAGGACTCCCTACTTCTACCATGAAGTTATATGTTCCTCTGGTGAACAGACACCATCAGGTGAGCTTCCTAACATTTTGGCTGCATATTTTTAGATACTAAGGATGCTAATAAGGTTGAAGTAAGAAAATGTTTTCTCAAATGGAATACTTTATCATTTCATTCATCCCGATTTTTGTGTATCATCCATATGTGGGTTGGTCATACAGGGAGTGTGCATGTGTTTGCTTTACTCACCTGGTTCTCTTTCAGTGTTATCTGCCCCTGCTCCTTACACCCAATGAAGGTTCTAACACATCTAAAAATCTTCTCGTTTTGTTGTACTCTCTGAACAAAGTTGGCTGGAAAGAAGCCGATCCTGTCTTGAATTTTCCCCTGGAAGGAAAAAAAGGAGACATTCATTTCCATTTGTGACATTTATCGTAATTATAATTACCAAATGATTTTTTTTCCTTTTAAAGAAAGAGAAATACTTGCTTTCCACCAGTCTTCATTGGAATCTTCTAGAAGAGTAATTATGTCTCCTGGCCTAAAATGGAGAATGAATGGGTTGGGTGGGGAAATAGGAGCAGGAAAAACATGAAAAACAAAAGACATATATGATATTTTGAAATCAGTAGATTTTTTCATTAATGCAAACAATCCCACTATAAGTAGAAATAAAATAAACATGACTTTTACCAATTCTTCCTACCCAAGATAGAAAGCAAACACACTTTCTACACTGCATGTAAAAAATAATCTTTATTTTCATTTTGACACATAGATGATCATATTTTCATTAAAAAAACTCCAAAATTTAGAAGTCAAGAAGTTTCAAGGTGCAATTCCCCCTCTGTCCCACAATTCTCCTCCCATCCTACACACTTAGATGATATATAGCTAAGTATATGTATTTTTTAAAATTATTCTTGTTAGAATACATGACAGTAGATTGGATCTTAACATGTTATACATACACGGAATATAACTTATTCTAAATAGGATCCCTTTTTTTTTTCACTTTGGTGCTGGGGATTGAATCCAGGGCCTTGTGCATGCGGCATGCACTCTACCAACTGAGCTATATCCCCAGCCCCAGGGTTCCATTTTGTAGTTGTGCATGATGTGGAGTTACACTGGTCGTGTATTCACATATGATCATAGGAAAGTTATGTCCAATTCATTCTACTGTCTTTCCTATTCCTATCCTCCCTCCCCTCCCTTCCTTCCCCTTTGTCTGATCCAATGAACTTCTATTCTCCCTGTACCCTCTATTGTGTGTTAGCATCCACATATCAGAGAAAACATTCAGCCTTTGTTATTTTGGGTATTTTTTTGCTTAGCGGTAACATCTATAATTAATTGGTCATTCTCTTTATGATCATCTATCTCTTTGTGATCTCTTTATTATCTCCTTGTGACTGCTTTTATGCTTTTATTTATCTCTTTATGATCATCTATAAAGTCTCAATAACTTCTTGAAATCTAGCACACTTCTGCTTAGTCCCACTTTCCCTCTTTGCCACTTTGATATCGAGGTAATTGGGAGTCTTGTTCTAGACTTGTGTGTGTTTATGTCATTCATCAAGAATGACTTGGGTTTAGCTGAAGACTGAGTGTTTGTGCTGGTTTTGGCGTTGTAGATGTGGTTGTTGTTTGCTATTTCTTGCCTTCCCCCCCTGCCCCCCCCAATCCAGGTGTGGGGATAGGTAGAGGAGAGAGAATGTGTGCTTTGACTCCTTTCTCTCAGTACTTTCTGGAGCCTTTACAATCCCAAGACTTACTTTTCCCCTTTGGAAATTTCTGTAAACTTTTCTCTGTTGTATGTTTCACTGTTTTCTCTCATCTTTCCTTTGGGTACCTCTAGTCAACACATGTTGGACCTTTGGGATCCCTCTCCATACCTTTTGTTTTTCTTACATATTTCCCATTTGTTTTTTCTCCCTCTGTATTAAATTTTTTCCTTATTTTTATCTTCCTCATCATTTATTTTGTATCTGGGATCCTCTATTTTTTTATCTGAATACTAAGAATTTTTGAACAAAGAAAAGCTAGCAAGTATTTTTCAAGTGTTTTTAGAAAAAAACTAATATTCAAGAGTTCTTAGTTGCTGACATTTCTTTTTTTCTTTCTTTCTTCTTTTTTTTTTTTGTTTGATTGGAGATTGAAAGATCAAACCCAGACAGTCTATTCACTGAGCTAAATCCCCATCCCTCCCCTTTCTGTTTTTCTTTTGCACTATGATTTCACTAAATTGCTGAGGCTGTCTTTATTATTTTCTGAAAAAATATCTGACAGTTGCTTTCTATGATGAATGCAATGTTATAATGGATCTTTTGGGGAGTATTATATTTTTAAAGACACTATTTCTTTCCTTTGTTGAAGTTTTTCCTGTAGGATCAGTTGCCCTGACCTTTATCATATCCCTTCTCCTTCATGTCAAAGGATCTTCTTGAACATCTGGCATTTCTTGGTTGTCTCTTTATATTAACCACTGAGATGGAGGCAGGTGGATGTGGCCAGCTGGGTGGGCTTCTCTGCTATTACACCCATCTGGTCTGCCCTGGGTCTCTCTCCCAAGCACGAGGGCTGTCTACAGGTTCTGCTGAAGGGAGTGGGGTATGCCAAGCAATGCACATGGGCCTCTAAGACTTTGGCTTAAAATAAACACATTGTCCCTCTGCCTCATTTTACTGGCCAAAGCAAGTCACAAGGCCAGTCTAGACTCCAGGAATGGGGTAACAGGTTCCACCTCTGTGTGAAAGGAATTGCAATCTCATGACATAGGTCATGAATATAGGGAGAGGTGAAGAATTAGGAGCATGAATGCAATCAATCGGCTGCAGACTCCCCCCATGTTTTCCCCTGGATTTTCTGTGTCTATTCCAATGTGTTCCTACATCTCAAGCTTTTTTTTTTCCCCAGTGTTGTTTGGTTTCTGGACATCTTCACTGTTCTCACCCTAACTAAAATTGCTGTAGTCTGCAGGTGAGTCCCAAGATTCCTGGTTTTCCCTTGGCATTCTTTCTGTTTTCTAGGACTGTTAAGGAAGTATCCTTAAAAAAAAAAAAAAAGATATTTTTGGACATTCTTAGGAAATGGAGCAAGAGAGAAAGCAGATTCTTGTGCTCATTTTGCTACTCTGATTCAATCTCCTCTGCTGTCATTTTCAATTCTCAGTTAATATCTATCTTGGTTGGGGATTCCGATCTAACAGGCTTATAGCACCTGAAGCATTAAACACAACTGGCATTTCAGTGTTCCGACAGTCACAGTTGTATGCCGAAGCTACAGAAAGCGAGGTGGCTGAAAAATCACTCTTTCCCAGGTGAGGGATTTAATTAAGCAGCAAGGTTGAAAATCAATGTGGAAAAATCTTCTAGGCTCCAGCAGATTTTATTTAACCCAGTAACCTAAGAAACTGTGTGTCAGTATCAAACATGATGACTTGGCTGCTGGTTTGGTAGCAATTGCAAATACATAATAAAGCTGAAGACTGGGGGAGGTACTGCTCCTGAGGGTGAAGGAAGAGACTGCTGAACCTGTCCTTGGATTTTATAGTCTAGCTAGAGACTCTGTAATCGGGCCCAGAAGTGAATGGTCCAGAGTGCATGCCCCATGTTAACTATACGTTAGAATATGGCACTTACTAGAATAGAGGCTTTAAGTTTATAGAAATACCAGACATACTCCTGACAGTGTGAGATGGATTCTATCCTGTTCTATAAAAAGCTTCACCAGTGTCAGAAAATTGCTTGGTGAGTGAGTATAGTTAAATGTATTCTTTTTTTTTTTTTTTTTTTTTTTTTTAAGGGAGGGTTACTAGGGATTGAACTCAGGAGCACTCAGCCATTGAGCCACATCCCCAGCCCTATTTTGGATTTTATTTGGAGACAGGGTCTCACAGAGTTGCTTAGGGCCTGGCTTTTGCTGAGGCTGCCTTTGAACTCAGGATCCTCTCAGCCTTCTGAGCTGCTGGGATTACAGGCATGTGCCACTGTGTCTGGCCTCAACCATAATTCTTTATTTTTATTTTTCTGTTTGTTTACTTGATCATCCAACAAATATTTACAGAATGCAGATTCTGAAAGAGCCATTTTACTAGGTGGTAGGTGAACTATGGTGAATGAAATCCTCACTGGAATGAATATTATGGATACTAAGTAAGTAAATAGTTAACAAAACATTTAATAAATATATAACTAATAATAAATGCATACTGTATATGCATGATCAATGCATACACAATTATAAGTTGTCCCAGGGGCTATGAAGGAAATAAATAGGAGATAGCCATAAAGAATAAAAGTGGCCACCTACTGAGATTAGTCAAATAGTCTAAGCCTCTGGAAGAGACAGTTAATATGGCTCTTCACTGCAGGGAGGATCTTTCTCTGGGGCAACAACTGCTTAACATCTGAATGAGCAGACCTGTGGCTGTGGGATTTGTATCCCCCCTGCCTACCCAGGTACCACCTAACAATCTCAGCATTCTTTGCCACTGGCTGCACTCAGAATCCTTTCCACTCTGTAATACTTTTTTTTTTTTTTTAAATGTGTTGATCAGTTTTGAAGTCCTACAGGCTGGTTCATTCCCTTCTTAAGCAGCTGATTAAGTCCATACCTTTAGTCACTTCCCTTCCCAAGGCTCTCCCACTCTGGATCATTGTGCACCAGCTTTACCCACCTACTCTGGGGTCGGGCCAGACAATGAGGGGAAAGGCCTATGCTTTTGAGTCTATAGATTACTCAAATTAGCCCCTCTATAGGGAGCCCAAGCAAACCCCATGGCTTTCCATGCATAAGCTGCCCCTGCAGCTCCTGCTGGTTGTTTCCCTGACTCCCAGGCACAAGCCCCATGTGGCTTTTCTTGGCAGCCCTTCCCTCCTCATCCTTTCTTAACTTAGTTCTCTTCTGCCACGGTGCTGGTGTGCTGTGTTGTGCCACCAAAGAACTAAATTAAAACATTGTGCCAAGCAGCTTTTCATAGAGAGGTGAGCCTTGCCAGGGGTCCCTGGGGAGCAGAGGTCTCTACTGCTTGCCATTCTCCTCTGCCTGGTTGCTCTGAAGAATGAACATGGCAGTGTGAGACTCTGCCTGCAGCTGTTTCACACTTATGAAACAGAATCCCTTTCCATGGAAAGATCCTTGATTCAGGTTATTACATTTCAGGTATGAGCAAAGTCCTTTTCTGGCCCAACAGTTATTCTCTTTCTTTCAGGTGATTTTATGCTTCTGATCCATTCTATCTAGATTTTATAATTTCACTCTTTATTTTCAAATTCTTAGGACTAATATGATGAGGCTTCAAATACTTAAGTTTTTTTTTTTTTTTTTTTCCTCCCTGTGCTTAATTCAATCAGAGCATTCGAAGTACAGGTCAAAGCTCTGCTTGCACAGCAACCCAGAATTATACACCCTGGACCCAAAGTCAGAATCATACACCATGACCAAAAGTATAATGCCATTCATAATAATAAAAGTATCAATTTTCTATTTTGTGAAAACAGATCAGATCACCACATGGGCTCTTCTCTTTAGCTTGCT